CTATGAGATGGATTGATTCGGTGACTGGGGTAATCGGGATGGGTGTGTCAGAGGCGGTGTGGTCGGCGCAGGATAGAGCAGGGTTTAGGGCTGTTATGCATAGGGTCGCTATGAGTCGGAAACGACTCGACGGCACATAACAACAACAACAACAGTTGTGTATTCCAAGAGGGTTTAAAACAAATTTTAGGGGTTTTATTAACAGTCATAAAATTGATACTCTTTTAAATTAAAACTAAAAACACTTCCTAAATTTCTGATTGCTTAATATTTTAGAACTTTCTTAATTGTTTGTTTTTTTAAATAACAGTGTTAATACTTTCCAAGTGTCTGTGATAAATTTTGTTCTAAAGAGCTTAGATGGGTAACTTGTCTTAGAACTAAAAGTGACATTTGTCCATGTATTGCAGAAATTTATTGTCCCAGTGCCATCTATGTGTTGTTCATACCAAATTGAAAAATGTTTCAACACTAAGTATTCAAGAACTGGTTGTCTAAGTTTTAAGAGCTCTTTCTAAAATTAAGAGATTCTGTTCTAATTGGTCGGTGTTTTATGATAAAAAATTTTCAGAACATAAGTGAGTAGAACTCCTCTTAAAAGTATAGTCATTCCCACAAGAAAAGAAACATTGAAGAATGATCCAAATAGGAACTTAGGATGTCAATCATTATTAATTATGTGATAATATATATAGGAATCCAGGAATCTTCCATGTTTCAAGTGACATTTTAACATTTTCAAAATTATGGCCTTTGTAGTGTACAAAATCTAACATTCTTAACATATGATTAATTTTTTTTTGGGGGGGTGAAGGTATTAAGTACACTGTCTGTATCTTTCTCCCTTAAACGTTGTCAGTTTTTTTAATGAGGACAGCCAGAGTGCTTCTTGGAGGCAAGGATGATGAGGCTTCACTCACATACTTTGGACTGTTGTTAGGAGGGGCTATTCCTTAGAATGAGACATTATGCTTTGAAAGGGACATCATACTTGGAAAGGTGGAGAGTCAGTGAAAGAGAAGACCCTTGACATGATAGATTGACACAGTGACTGCAGCAGTGGGCTCAGCTATGTTGGAGATGATGAGAATGGCACAGAATAGGGCAGGATTCAGATCTATTGTTTATAGGGTCACTTGGAGTCATTGCTCTGAGCACTTAGGGGCACCTTAGTCCTCAGACTGACATTATTGCTCCTCAATTATTTGGAGAGGTCCCTGATTATAGACTTTGCCAGTGTAATACATCTCCTGATCTCCTGACAGCTGTTACCAAATGTTTGATTGTGGATCCAAGTAACATGAAGTAACTGACAGTCCTAATCTTTTCTCCATCTGTCATGATATTGCCTATCAGTCCAGTGGTGAGGATTTTTGTTTTCTTGATGTTGAGATGCAGTCCATATTGAAGGCTGCAATAGTTAACATTCTCCAGCAAGTTCTCACTTTTAGCATTATACTTTTGAGAAATGGACAGTGAATAAGCATGACAGAAGAATTATTGATGCCTTTGAACTGTGATGTTGGAGAATAGTACTGAATAGCCCACCGAGTACCAAAAGAACAAACAGATTTGTCTTAGAGAAAGTACATCCAAAATACTCCTTGGAGGCAAAGATGATGAAGCTTCATCTTACATACTTTGGGCATGTTTCTAAGAGAGGTTATTCTCTGGAGAGGGGAATCATGCTTGGGAAGGTGGAGGGATGTCAAAGGAGAGGAAGACCCTCAACCAGATGGTTTGACACAGTGACTGCAGCAGTAGGCTTGAGTGTGTCAGGAATTGAGAAGATGGCACAGGATAGGACAGGGTTAAGTACTATTGTTTATAGAGGTGCTATACTAGACTGAGGGCTCTTTACAACAAGTCATACTTGACTGACAACACCTTCAACATGATAATGTTTTCTGATCACTTTGTATCCTGGACTCTAAAAGAAAGCTACATGATTGAATTACAACCCCCTAGGCAGCATCTTTTAAGAAGTATCTTGAATTTTTCTTTTAAAGGCTCTTTATCCATCTTTATTATGAGATGGTATTGCTGGTATATTTTAAAACACATGGAATGCAATATTGTCCAATTCTGGAAACTAGTAGTTTCTTTCTTTCTTTTTTTTTTTTTTTTTGTTTGTTAGAATATTTAGAAATTTCTTGTACTTCACTAAGAGGATTTTAAAATTTAAGACAGTTTATTTTTTTATGGTGAATTTTTATTTTTTTTATTAAATTTTATTAGTTTTAATGAACATTTACAGAGATTTTGGGTTTTCATTCATTCATTGTTGCACTGTTTTCTTCACCCTCATCCCCAGTTCGTTCTTCTTCCCCCACCAATGTCTGTTTTAATTGTCCAATTGCCACAGTGCTTGTCAAAGTCAGTTCTGATTAATCTCCTTGGTCAGCGTGTCCTTTGCCATTCCCTATCACTCCTCCCTGAGAGGGACTTCACCCTGATGCATAAGGAAAAGGGTATGGCGCATTCTCTTAGCTACTTCCTGCTGAAAAGGGACGCTGTGGGTTTCAGGGTGAATGTCTTCTCTCACTACTCCAAAGGGCCCCCTTGGCAGTAGGAAACACATAGACTATTATGGAGATTGATTTTGGAATTTAGATGCACTGTTATCAATTGTGCTTAGCCGTACATGTTCATATCCTTGAAGATGTATCATGGAAGTGTTGCAGCCTAGAAGATACAAATTTAACTAACAAGTTAAAAGTGTATGAGTCAAAAATTGAAAAGCAATAATATTCTGAGTAGAGGTTCTAATAGTGGCACAAATCAAGTTACAGAAGTAAGGTGGTTCCATTGCCATCCTTACTCTAACTTAATTCTTTTTTTTAAATTTAAATTTGTTATTAATTTCAGTGAAAATTTACAGAAGCTTTGGATTTCCATTCATTCATTGTTGTGGATTTGTCCCCTCCCAAGGCTCCCCCCCGCCACCAGACATTACCCTCTTGGAAAAGGAAAAGAAAAGATTCTTTCATTATTTTACAAACCCTCCCCCAGGTCCACTCCACCATGTAGCCATCGCTCTAGACTCTTGTCATGACCGAAATACCTAATCATATATCTCTTTTAAACAGTTTTCTCCCTTCTCTGTTTCAGAGCAGCATACATTATTGAACCCATCTTAGTCTCTTCCCAACCCCAAGGACAGTCCCATTCTACAACAGTGGCATCATGCAATATTTGTCCCTTTGTGACTGGGACATTTCACTCAGCATAATGTTCTCCAGAGTCAACCATTTTGAGTAGTATTGCATGAGTTCCTTGTTTTTTAATGCAGCATAGTATTCCATTGTGCGAATATACCACAGCTTCTCTAGCCATTCGTTTGTTGATGGGCACTTAGGTTGTTTCCAACTCCTTGCTATTGTGAACAAAGCTGCAGTAAACATGGGTGTGCAGACTAGTAGTTTCTTTTCAATATATCTGATCACGTAATTTAAGGAATCATTATCACTAGTTTAATCTGTAAAGCAGTAGTCAATCTGCTGTCTTAACATTTACATTCACAGTGCAGGTTAGGTCATTATTATGTGTAAGTTTGTACTTAGAGATACTTGTTTCTAGGTCTGCCCATCAAATTCTGTCAGTAAAAGTAATCTCAGTTCTTTATATTTTCTCTATGAAAGTTCTATCACATACTTAGTATCAAAATGAGGGCAGAGGAAAACAAAATTTAATATCAAGTCTGAGATAGCACTGAAGAGTGAAGAAATGTTTGATATTTACTATCCTTGAGATAGTAGTTATTATTCAAGAATATTGACTTTTCCAAATCATACTTTTCTTGAAATTCTTCTAATGCTCATGCCTATCAAATTGACCGTGAAAGTGGCACTGATAGAGAGCGCTTTCTTTGTCAGTGTATATTATGAAATCATTTCAATGAAAAATATTACTAAAAAGAGGAATAGAATTTTTGTGTATGGAAGCTTTTATACACACCTTAGAAAACTTAGAATTTGTTAAGAAATAGTCCTGCCCAGAAGATTAGGGAGCAATGTTTCTCAACAGTGTTCCAAAGAACACTAATTCCTCAGTTCGTAGTGTAATTTCTTTGTGGAAACACATTCTGTAAAGTAAAACAAATGGACTCCAAAATCAAGTAAATCTGAGAGGCAGAATTAAACAAAGAAAAATAGGTTTATTTATAAGATAACTTAGAAACACTAATAAGTTTATTTGCATCATTAGTATCCAAAAAGGAGTAGTTATTGCCCTGGATTCTTTTTGAGAAGCATAGAACATTTTGCAAAGTAATATGTAGAATCCAGGTTGCCAAATACTATTGTAGATAAATTGTAAAGCCTATTAAGAATTTGTTATTTTTATGGATGTATAGACTATCTGAAAAGAAACATGAATAAAAATAGAAAGTACAGTTTTAAAAGCTAATGTAAAATTAGTATTACCTTACCATTTGCAATTACATACTGCCTAGAATAATGTATGGATTATATTTCATGATCTGTTGGGTTAAAATACTGTTTTCTTTTTTGGCTTGTATCGTTTCTATAGTGCCAGTTTGAACTGATAGTAAATAGTGGGGAATTCTCACCCACTTGTGCTCTCATTTAATGCCATTGAGTTGTAACTGACTCATAGCTAACCCTCGAGTGGGTTTCCCAGATTGTAAATCCCATGGAAGAAATTACCCATTTCCCTTCTGTTAGAGCCACGCTAGTGGATTTAAACTTTCAGAGAAGTTTGGTCTTTGGGTTTGCGATGTAACTCCCTTCAGACTGTGCCACTATAGAAAAGATTGAAAAGTGGTAAGAATTTTGGCAATAAGATACTGATAAAACTGCTAGAATAGACCTAAACTGAAATTAAAATATTTTTTTATATATTTGCAGTGAAACAAATGTTCATGGTTAGAATAATTGATGAGGAATTTTGGCATTTATGATATTACCCAGTATTTCAAGAGAACAGATCATCATGATCAAGGCTTCAGTTTATATTATCTTTCCTTATTCACCCATTTAACGCAGGAATATCTGTCCTTTTTTATATTCTCATAAGTTTAAGATCTTTAGCTAGCAAATTCTAGGCTACAAGTTTCATTACTGAAAATTTATGAACAATTATTGATGAGGGAAACATTTTGGTAATATAGGATTTTTCTTACTCTTGCCAATTACAAATGAAAGAATTAAGTTGGATTTTCAAATTGACACTTGTTCATAAAATATTGTTTTTTGTGTTTGTATTCTAGGCTTTTTTGTCCAAGGTTTTCCTAAACTCTTGAGGTTCCAAGAACACCATGAAAAAATACTGAATAAATTTCTGTCCAAGCTTAAGCAACACTTGGTAGGTAGAGGTAATTTTCACTCACTTAACACCAAGAATGAAAACCAAAACCAAACCCACCACCATGGAGTCCATTTCAACTCATAGTGACTCTCAATTGGGTTTTTGAGGCTGTAGATCTCTATGGGAGGGAACTGCTCATTTTCCTTTCCTGGAGTAACTGGTGGATTCAGACTGCCAGCCTTTTGGTAACACTGCAACACATACTGGCATTACTCCATCGCGTGTCCTTATACCAAGAATGAAGCTAGAATAATTGGATTTAGACTCGTACCAACTATCTTAACTACCTAAGTAAGTACTTACAGTGTTATTTCCTATACCGTTCCCAAGTGTTTGATGAATACTTATATAAAATTTAATATTGATACATACTGTCAGCTTTACAAAAAAAAAATCCAGTGAGGATTTGCACATGATTGAAATCCACCAGCTGTTCCATGAGAGAAAGACTGAGAGTCTCTTCTCATGCAATTTACTACCTCGAAAAACCTGTTGAAAGATTAGATATAGGTCGGTTCTTACTCAACAGAAAACACCAACAGCATCAGCTTTAACTCATAAAATCAAACTACTACTTTGAAACTGATAAAAACAAATATAGTTTATGAAAGCACATGATTTGTCAGTAATTTTGACCTTTTTGAGGGTTTTCTAATTGCACAAAAAGTATTCAAGGATCATGCATTATTAGTGAGTGACATATGCTTTACTGTAAAACACAGTTTATAAAAAAGGGTAAGATATTTTGAAAAGTCAATTCCTGTTTTACAATTCAGTTATAAGAAAGGAATTGTTGTTATGGTAATTTGAGAAGTAAAATTGATAGGGTAAGAGCAAAAGGAGTAAATCTAAACATAGTTATGTTTACCTTTGACAGGTGCCTCTACAACCTCCCTAACTGTTGTGTTATGTTGGCATGTTTCTTTGCTACAATTCAGAGATCTTTCTTTTCCCTCCAGGATTCTCAAGAAATCTACACAAGCTTTTATACAATGAAATGGTTTTTTCAGTGCTTTCTTGATCGAGTAAGTATTTTTAAAGCCCAATCATGAAATTATAAATAAAAGATGAAGTAAAGTTAACATTTTACCTGTTTTGTTTTTAATTACAGACTCCATTTACACTCAACCTAAGAATATGGGATATCTACATATTTGAAGGAGAACGAATTCTTACTGCTATGTCTTATACAATCTTAAAATTACACAAAAGTAAGAAAATGTTAACTCTAAACATTTTACCAAAAAAAAATGTATCTTAAGTCTGATGTCCCATTCACCCTCTACAACTAACTCCCACAAGTTTTCTTTCAGTAGTGATCTTAAAAAATTTTTGAAAGTCAGTGAAAAGACTATTTTTCAATTAAACCTTGAGAGATCTTTAATCCTTTTTTCTTAATGTCGGTTTTATTTTCAATTTAAGCAGTAAGTTGATGACTTCAGTATGCAGTTTGATGGTTTCACTAGTTAACTATCTGTTTCTATTGGATCCTGTTAGTCCTTTTCAGCAGTCTGAATCTTAACGTAAAGATAGGACAAGTTTCAAAGATAGGACAATGCTTAGTTGAAAAGGTAGGGAGGACTTTTTTTTTTTATCATGTTCATTGTATACTCTCTACTCTCATGTTCTTGAATCATCATCTAGTCAGCTTTCCAACTAAATTATAACTACTTGAATAACATGGGGTCATGTTAGGTATTTTATTTACTCCCTGACTGTGTTTGATGTTCTAAGTACTTGTCAGTTGCTTTAAAAATATGATTAGTTATTTGATTGCTTACTTCAAAAGAAAATAAATAATGCCATATTGTCCAACATTAGATAGGAATGAAAACTCCTTTGTTTACTCTTTCAAAGAAAAGGATTCAAAAGTGTTGTGATTCATTACCCCAGCGTACAAACTAAAACTTCAAGACCAAACAACTCACAATAAATTGCGTGCCAAGACTCAGAGTTCTATTGTACATCAATTTTTCACTTAATTATTCAGTACTTTTTCCCTTTTCCTCTCTCTCCTTCTGTTGCTGTCACTCACTCTCTCTCCCCCAGCCTCTTATTTCTTTTTACTTCTTTTGGATTATGAGCTAACAAATATGAAAGAAAGTATAATTTTTATTAAAATATATACTTGTTAGCTTTATGTTCCATAAAGTGAGAAAGTAAAAACATATTTAATTAAGTTTCTCTGTAGCTCTCTTCATCTTAAATTATGTTTTATTTACTTGACCCTTGATTGATTGTTTCCATTTTTTTGGGGGGAAGTAAAATTTTTCTTAACCTTTTTGTACAAAAACTTTAAGCATAGCAATTACTTTCTATGCTACCATGACATTACATTAAATAAGCTGTGAGGAAATTTTCTGTTGCTGTGGATTTTTCTCTTAGATAAGGAGACCAAGCTCAAGGACGTAAATGAAGTTCCTTTAAAGCAGCATATAAAGCTTCAAAAACTGGCACCCTAACCAGCATGTTAGCTGATGCTCATGAAATAGTTTTTCTTCCCCCATCTCTCCTTTGTTTTTCTCTTTTTTTGTGTGTGTGATTGCTTTAAGAATATTCAAAGCCGTGGAAAACTCATTTTCCCTGTAACCTTTCACTCATACTACAACAAAAAAGGTCAAAATAAATTTAAAAGGAAACCCAAAATAATTAATTAATATTAATTAATATTAGATGCTATTCCTAGAGCTTCATCCTAAATGATAATGACACTCCCTAAAAAGCTAGAAATGGCCTAATGTCCATTATTAGAGGACTTCTTTGATATAGTGCACTTCATGCATGTTGTTACTGTTTTGTTGTTGAGGTGCCTGTTTCATGTATGCAATGAATTATTAAAACACAATGTAACTATTAAAGATGATGTTGAAAGTTTTAACTGTTTGAAGTAGGAGATACCCCTGATACATTATTGAATGGAGAAAAGTAAATACAATGACATACAAAACTTGGTTAGTTTTTGTGAATGCATCTACATAAAGACACATTCATATACACATCTCAAAATTTTAAGTACCTGGTTTTAACTCTGTTTTGTGGATTTTATTGCAGTAAAATCAATTTTATAAATAGAAATAAATCTCAAATAAAATTAGTAACTGTAGAATTTCTTTAATTTGTTTTACACTAAAGCAGAAAGACCTGATGTCATCCTGGAGTACACTCCCGTTCTTTGTCGCTAAGATGCTCTCACTGAAGAGTTCATATTAATGCCCCACTTACTCACTTTTGTTGATTTGGTTTCAACTCGTAGGAATCATCCATTAGATTTCCAAGGCTATAAATCTTAACATGGGGCAGCTGTCTATCTTTCTCCTACAGAACTGCAGGTAGATTCACACTTCTAAAAATGTCCTTTGGTTGATGGCACAACACATTACAGACTATGCCACAGAGCTCTTTTATTAATGCCTTAAACATATTTATTCTGAAACCAATGAGAAGGTAATTGACAGTATCCTCCCTCTATACCACCTCCCCCCACTCTAAGTTAGAGTACCTTCTTTTCTTTGTGGCTATTTTTACATCAGAATGGTTTGGCATATTAAGTTTTAATGATATTCACAAGGCTTTACAGAAGTTGCATGCAGTAATGCCTACCCTTTTAAAGACTAAACTATCTTCAGCCTGAAGTAGCTGTTAACTCTTCATTTTTATTTCTTTCATTTTTTTTCTTAGAACATCTAATGAGATTGTCTATGGAAGAACTTGTAGAATTTCTTCAGGAAACCCTGGCAAAGGATTTTTTCTTTGAAGATGATTTTGTAATAGAACAACTTCAAATTTCTATGGTAGAACTAAAACGAGCGAAATTAGATCTTCCAGAACCTGGTAAGAAAAATCCAAACACTCTGTGTCTAAATGATAATTATTAAGGTTTGGAGGCCTGAGGGATCAACATGGGTCTCCTTTTCAAAGCAAAAATATTGTACCTGTAATGATGTAGTTTGAGCCAGTGTCTTATCAGTTGCTCACGGTTTTTCTCTTAAGAAAGGACAAATATACATGTTTTAAGAAAGGGTAAATGGACAATTAAATCTACCTCTTCTGATAGAATAAGTGAACTATTCATAGTTAAATATAGAAAGATTGGCTGGCAGATAGTTCTTGTTCAGCAGTGGAAGCCATAATGCTTTAAATTGCCATTGCAATGAGCACTTTTTATATTTATAATCCTAGATTAAGAAGCTATATGCAACAGCACAGTAAGTGAGAAGTCCCATTTTATAGATGAGAATATTATAATTTGAAACTAGAGAATCACATTCTACAGTAACTGGCTTTTCACTTGTATGTATTATCTCTGATTTCACATAAGAAGAACTTGAGAGTAAGAGGTTGAAGCATCTTGGGCTTCACAGGCAGCCCAGCCAAGAATTAAGCCTAAATGAGTGAAAATTTGAGAAAGAGCAACCAAGTCATCTCACCTGTCTTCTTTAAGTGCCAGCAAAGAAGCAACTGAGCATGGAGCCATTTAGCATTTACTTTCTTAAAGCATGAACTAGCATGAACTAGGGTCCTAGTTTCCTTACTGCTAACCCAGTGCTCTTTTGCAGTGTGTTGTAGTTTAGATGTTGTTGTTGTTTTGTTGTTATGTGCTGTCGAGTTGCTTGCGACTCATAGCGACCCTATGTACAACAGCCCTAAACCCTGCTCTATCCTGTGCCAGTCAAACTGCCTCTGAAATGCCCATCCTGATTAACCCAGTCACTGAATCAGTCCACCTCATAGAGGGTCTTCCCCTTTTGCACCATCCCTCCACCCTCCCAAGCATGATGTCCCTCTCCAAAGACTTGTCCCTCCTTACAACATGTCCAGAGTTTGTCAGACAAAGCCCCAGAATCCTTGCCTCCAAGGAGCAGCCTGCTTTAACCCTCTCCAGGATGAATCTGTTTTCTTGGCAGTCCATGGTACATTCAGTACTCTTCTTCAGCACCACAGCTCAAGGTCATCAATTCTCCTTCTATCCTTCCTAGTCATTGTCCAACTCTCTAATGCATAACAAGTGACTGCAAAGACCATAGCCTGTATTAGATGCACCTTCGTCTTCAGAGTGACACCATTGCTCTTCAGTACCATGGAGAAGTCCCTAACAGTAGACTTTCCCATCGCAATACTTTTTTTTATTTCCTGGCTACTGGTGCCAAGAGTGTTGACTGTGGAGCCAAGAAGGGGTCGTGGTACTAGGGATATTGTAGCTGATGTTAGATGGATCTGAGCTGAAAGCAGGGAATACCAGAGGAATGTCTATCTGTGCTTCTTTGATTATGCAAAGGCATTTAACTGTGTGGATCATAACAAACTGGCTGACTCTGAGAAGAATGAGAATCCCAGAACACTAGATCATGCTAATGCAAAACCTATGCTTGGACCAAGAGGCGGTTGTCAGAACAGAGCAAGGAAACACTGCATGGTTCAAAATTGGGAAAGGTGTATGCCAGAGATGTGTCCTATCTCCATACCTTTTCTGTATGCAGAACAAATTATCTGAGAGGCTGGGCTCTATGAGGAGAAGTGTGGTGTCAGGATTGGTGGAAGATCTATTAACAATCTGCGTTATACAGATGACACAGCCCTGCTTGCTGTAGTGTAGATAGTGTATTTTATTTACTTACTTAAAAAATATTTACTCAGCACTGATTATCTTTGCCTAAAATAGTATTTGTATTTTTAAAATTCATTTCTCTCCTTTACATCAGCCAGCTGCCTTCTCTTAAAGACATTTCCCTCCCTCATCAGCAGGGCTTTTTGGGTACTGAAAAGCCAGGGAAAAGGCTTACTTTTTGCCCTTCTCCTATTTTCAGAATTCAGAGTTGATGTTTATTACGTCCAGTGGAAGCAAATGAGCTTGTTTGGGTTTTCTTCGTGTTTGTTAATAGTTTTCCCCCATTAAGTCAAAATGCCATTTTTATCATAAACTAAGTTTTCCTATATTTGTCTATTTCTGTTATGTCTGTTCTGTTCTTTTGATCAGTTTGCCTCCTTGATCTTTGCCTTTATAAATATTAGTAGTTTAATTGTTGTTGTTATATGTCATCGAGTTGCTTGTGACTCATAGTGACACTGTGTACAACAGTCCTAAATGCTGCTCTGTCCTGTGCCAAACTCGCCATCTCCAACACACTCATTCCCACCACTCCACTCACAGAATCGATCCATCTCATCAAGGGTCTTCTTCTCCTGCGCCCTCTATTCTCCCAAACATGATATCCCTCTCAAAGGACCAGTCCCTCCTTGCAACATGCCCAAAGTATGTCATACGAAGCCTCAGAACCCTTGACTCCAAGGAGCATTCTGGCTTCACCCTCTCTAAGTTAAACCTGTTTGTTCTCCTAGCAGTCCATGGTATATTCAATACTCTTCTCCAGCACCACAGTTCAGAGGAATCAATTCTCTATCATCCCTAATCACTGTCCAACTCTTCCGATGCATAGCATGTAATTGCGAAGACTATAGCCCGGATCAGGCGCACCTTAGTCTCCAGCCTTACATCGTTGCTCTTCAATACTCTTGAAGGGTCCCTCACAACTGACTTGCCCAGTCCATTTGTCTCTTGATTTCCTGGCCTGCTGGTACCGAGAGTGTTGACTGTGGAGCCAACTTGATGGGACAGAAATTTTTCTTGATTAGGGAGAATTAAATATTTTGTTTTGTCATGAACTTTTCATTTTTAAGTTTAATTTTTTAATTGTCTTTTTTACCTTTTATAGTTATAATTCTTACATATAATTATAAATCTTACATATTATTAGATTCACTCCTAAGAATTTTCTGGTTTAGCTGCTTTTGTGAATGAGGACTGGTTTTACTTTTTATGTGTTTTAATTGACTTATGTGCATAAAACTATATATAGTTAAGGACACTTTTTTTGCCTCTTAACAAAATTATGGCTCTTGTTACTGTTTTCGTCCCATATTTCTTTGACTGTTATCTCATTTACAATATTGTTAGTGTTACTAATTCTAACTAGTTATAAATCAGAGTTTGTCTTTTGTTCATAGGGTTGCTATGAATCGCAACACTAGTACTAATGTGTGGTTTTATAGCATCTGAGAATATATTCTGACCTAAATTTATGGAAATATACTTTATGACTAATTTGAAATTAATTTTTATTAAATGTTTCATGTGCACCTAATAGGAGAATGCACTTTTATTTATCAAAGTATAGACTTTTATATATAGCTTTTCAACTCAACTCTTTGCCTTGAGTTGAAACTGACTCATAGCTGATCCTTCAGTGGGTTTTCAGAACGTGTAAATCACACAGGAGGTTATTGTCCATCTTTCTCTTGTGGAGCAGCTGGTGGATTTAACTTTTGGATTATCAACATGACTCCCTACTGGCTAGACAACCAGGCCTCTATACAGCTATTGTTGTTGTCATGTACTGTTGAGTTAGAATCGACCCATAGCCGACTCTCTGGTTGGTTTTCACAGGCATTTAATTGCATGGGAAGAGATTAACCATCTTTGCTCCTGTGGAGCAGCTGGTGGATTCAAACCATGTATTTTCAGGATTGCAGCACAGCTTCTTACCAATAGGCTATGAGAGCTCCCTATATAGCTATTAGACCAACTTTATTTAGCATATATATACTTACACATATGTTACTTACCAAGCTGCTGACTAAAAGGTGAGTGGTTCAGATCCCCCACTGCCTCTTGAGGAAACATGAGCGATCTCTTCTTGTAAAGATTTACAGTGAGGGGAGCTCTGGTGGCCTAGTGGCAAGAAGCTGCACTGCAATCCCAGAGGAACACGGTTCGAATCCACCAGATGCTCTGCCGGAGAAGGAGGCGCAATATCCTCCTGTACCAGTCAGATCTGATTTGACGGTACACGCACACAAAATAAAAAAATTAAAAAAAAAAAAAAAAGATTTACAGTGTTGCTAACTCAGTAGACATTGCTGTAATTTGAGCTCAATTTAATGCAGTAGAATTGGTTTTGTTTTGTCTCATTGTGTAAGTTTGTATCTTTGTATATCCTGCTTTTTTTAAAAAAAAATTTAATTATTTTATGTGTCTGTACCGTCAAATCAGATCTGACTGGTACAGGAGAAGATTGCCCCTCTTTCTCCAGCAGAGCATCTGGTGGATTTTAATGGTGTGCCTCTGGGATTGTAGTGCAGCTTCTTGCCACTAGACCACCAGAGCTCCCTTATGTCCTGCTTTTTTAATGTAAGACCAGTCAGAAAGGGTTATCTTTAAGATTCTCCCCCACCCCCACTCCATATGACCGCATCAGCGTAACAAGAAAGCACCTTTTTTTCAAATGAGGTCATATTCACAGATACACAGGTTAAATTTTTCATGTAATTCTTGAGGAGACACAATTTAATCCATAATCTTAGTCTTCTAATTTTTTTGTCTTAACTTTATCTGTGTATTATTGAACCAAGGAACAGTTACCTATACAGAACAAGGATATACTGCTTGATTTAAAATTAGAAAAGATGTGTCTCAAGGCTACATCTTTTCTTATAGCTGGTCAGTCTATATGCTGTTAAGTTACTTGACAAACTAGACTTCAGAGTATTGAAAACCAAGGGCACCAGTTTAATGACTAACATGTAGCTGGCTCAAGTCATAGTATTTTCATTTGTTTCACATACATATGTAAATTGGACAGTGAATAAGGAGGACCAGAGAAGAACTGATACCTTTAAATTGTGATGTTGGTAAAGATTATTGAATATGCTATAGACCGCCAAAAATAACAATTCTGTCGTGGAAGATTTACAGCTAGAGTACTTCTTAGAGGTGAGGATGGTGAGACTTGTCTTAAGGACTTTGAGCATGTTATTAAGTGAGGCCAGTTCCTGGA